TCAACACTCCCCCTTGCCCTTGGGCCTTCCCCATGCTCCCCTCTCCACCCAGGCCTCCCTGGGGTCTCCCCAGACTGGGGACTGAGTCCATCTCGGGGATTGTTATGTAGATCTGCTGCCCACCCAGCTTTGGAAACAAGGATTTGTGGTTCTGCAAAAGGAAGGAAATTGTGGTCGTTGGCCGCACAATGGAGACTAGTTAAGCAAAGTGCTAGGAGTCAGGCCAGGCATGCATGGCCCTGGGCCAAATGGATGGAGACACAGCACCACTGAGCACCTGATAGGAAAGGAGCCAACCCTGGTAGCTGGACTAATTATTATTTAGTAATAATCCTTAGTTGCCCTGAGAGCCAAGGCAGGGACTGGGGCTGTGCAATGGTGTTTATCTTCACATCAAAAGCCCCAAATAACCTAAGGACAGACAAGGGCCACGAAGCAGGACTGGGAACAACCTCCCAAGTCCAGCCCCTGCTATTACAAGCAACCCTTTCACATCACCCTTCTCATCAACCCATCAGTCTCCATCTTACGACCATGCATGTTGCTCACCTCAACCCGGTTTTACTGGGAAGCCTCACTGCTGCACTGGTTAGAAACCTGCCTCTGGCTTTCCGCCTGCACTTGTTCCTGGCCAGTTTGTCCCCATTTGCACTGGTGCTGTCATGTTCCTTAAAAAGCATGCCTCCCTCCCCAGTGCTCCCCCCTTTCTTCATGGATATAGACAGCAATCACATCCTCTCCGAGCCTTCCTTTTGCTGCTTTAAAAGCCAAGCTCTTCTAGTCTCCTCTGGTAAAAGCAGCTTTTAATTCCCTGGTCATCCTAGTAGCCCTTCCCTGCACCTGCTCCAGTTTGAGTTCAAAACAAAAGCAGGGTTCAGGTTCTGCTGATGGGGTGGGGCGGGGGCAGAATAACAGGGAGAAATCATGACAATAGCCACTCGCATTTTTTTTTTTTAAGGAAGGACTGAATCAGACAAAATACTGTGCAGAAGGGCTTTGAAAATGCTGTGCGGTTGGGATCCAAAGGGGGGCGCGTACTTTGAAACAGCACGGAAATAAAAAACGATTGGTATCTGTGGATCCCCTCTCTAAACATTTTGCAAGGAATAGATGTGGATGTTCATCAGTCCCCTCCCTATCACTTACTGTGGAGTAGGTGACTGTGTGCTCAGCATTTACGCTAATGCCACTTCCATACTTCTGTGTTCATTATTTATAACAAAAATGTGTGTTTGCAAAGCTGATTTGAGCTGTACCCGTTCGAAAAAAGGATTGAAATTGGTAAAAAAAAATAGTCCGCTGATTTAGTCATGGAAACAGACACGACCTAAGCAAATCAATGCTTTCTCTTCACCATTTCTTACAGACATACACAGATTGGTAAACACTGATACAACTATAGATATAAAAGAAAGTATTTATTATCATTAAAAAATTATATTTAGATGCTGGGTCATTAAATTCATTTTAGGAAGACATTTTAGTTTTCAGCCATTAATAAAAGTGTGATAAGGATGTGGCAGAGAGAGAATAAATTGTGTATGTTAAGTGGTGCGATTTTCTGCCATTAGAGCTACTTTACAATGTTTCCCTTTATTTTGGGATAATTCTAACTTTTTGTCATAATGCCTCCTGCTCTGCAGGAGGTCAGACTAGCTTCTCTCACAATCTCTTCTGACCTTAAGCTCTACAAAACACCCACAAAAATAAATGTCTTGACCACACACTTGATTAGCACCGTTCTAATAACTCATCCCAACACTCATTTCCAACTTTACTAGATGGAGGGACAAGGCACTGTATTCTCAGCTTATGCAACCCCTCTCTCCACTTCTGAAAACCCTGGAAAAAAGCAACACGCTTCCCTAGTCCTGTCCCTCCCTTCAGTTTCTCCTACCTTGTCACTGTATTTGGTGTCCTCCTGAAGTCCCAGCTCCTGGGGTCAAGGGACTGAGGCTCACAGCTCTTGTTGGAAAAAAAAGAAAATAGCACATTCCTGATTGTAGTGGATGGCTGGGAAATGTGATACCTCCCCCCTGGCTGTGGAGGAGGCGGGGAGCTATTCAGGTGGACAACTCAGGTAGGGAAGCCTTCAGGGCCTAGGCATGCGGTGGGCAGAAGCTGGCATTGGTGCTGTGCCCCTGAAGTGAAGATGAGGCGCCCCGAGGGGCTCAGACTACTGTGCACCAGGAACAGGGTGAAGCTGGCATCCCGTCATAACGCAGAGATTCATATGGCCTCAGCATCCCCTGGGCCTGGGCAGCGATGCCCGGAGCCAGACCTGGCAGCCCCCAGCTGGCAGGCTGAGCATGCAGAGTCTCCCCTGCAGCATCCAGGGCAGTGTAGAGCTCAGGGCTACTCAGAGCTGGACTATAGCTGACATGACCACACCAAGCCAGGCAGTGTCACCTGTGCCTACCTGGCACAGCCAGCAAAAAGGTAGCCCCAGTGCACACAGCTAGGAAGTGCTTGGCTGCTGGCCTGTGGGAGAGCTCAAGGCAAAGGGGCCTTGTGCTCCCCCAGGTCCAGGGATCTGGACCAGCACTGATTCCCCCCAGCCTTCAGATCCTGGGAAATGCCTGTACTCCGATGGGCTGCCCTGCTCCGCCCAAGGCTAGCTGAAGGATCAGGTCTTTTTAAAGGTTTGGTCTAAATCAAATCGGGGCTCCTATAGCGCTGGACACGGCACATGCAGGGAAAGACAGACACTCCATGGATACAACAGAAGAAGACATGCTATGCTCCACACTCCATCTCTTTGGTGTCAGTCTGCAGAAGCCATGTTCACTCCGGTCTGCCCTGCAGCTCCTAAGCACTTTGGCCGCTGGGTGGCAGAGAAGACAGGATTCTTGGTCTTCCTTTCCCCCCCGGGGAAAACTGAGGTATAGAGAGAAATGAAGCAGTGTGTCTGCATTCACACAATAAATCTGCAGCAGGATTGGGTCACTGACCTCAGGAATCCTGATCCTTCTGTGTCAGCTCTAACCATGCAGATGCCAGTGACATCCCAGAATAGGGATAGACCCCAGGAGTCCAGATACCTAGCTCTCCTTCCTCCCTCCCTCCCTCCCCTTCCCCCACCTTACCCACTAGATCTCATTCCCTATGAAAGCAGGGATGTTGCCCGCATGTACCCACTAGATCTCATTCCCTATGAAAGCAGGGATGTTGCCCGCATGTACCCACTAGATCTCATTCCCTATGAAAGCAGGGATGTTGCCCACATGTCCCAGTTTCTGCATACTGCTGCAGCAGTGTAAGGAGCAGGCGCTTCTCACCTCATGTCTTGAAATTTGTGTGCCCGGGTTTCTTTAACTCGCACAGTGAAAGCCTCCCCATCTGGGCTGGAGACAGTTGCAGTCTGGCACTGATGCCACCCACCGCACAGCAAACCGTGGCACTTGCACCCTGCAGTCACGTCATGGCTTGAGCCCACATAGCCTGGCATGCCCACTTGCAGAGATGATAAAACGCCCTCCATTCCTAGTTACATCTGATGAGTGTTGTAACAGCCTGGCAGCCATCTCCCTTGCCCAGTGCCACAGCCCTTGGAGGCAGATCTAGCCTGGAATCCTCTCTGTCTTTTCCAGATCAGACTTATGGACCCACCCACCTATTCCTCCTCGACTGGCCTCTGGGATTCACACAGCTTGCTATCTCCCTTGGGTCAGACCCAAAGTCCCACGATGCCCACTAATCCCAGGCTCACAGGGCCATCTAGGTTGGGGACCATCCCACGCCTGTGAATGAAACCCATGGATCTATCCGTTCCAGTAGATCTGACCTCCCAATCCGATCCATGGGCCCTTTCAGTTCAAGATCCCCCCTCCCCACATCTCCATTTAGATCCATGGGCCACCTAGCCTGGTACTGTCCCCCAGATAGTCTTCCAACTTGGTAATCTCATCTCAGAGCAACCCAGAAGCCCATCTAGCTTGATAAACCTGCTAGGCCAGACCCATGCACCCATCCAGAGCAGTAACTCACTGAATCAGTGTCCCCTTATAAGTCCATATTGCCTGGAATTCAGCCCCTATAAGATGCATGGGTCCATGCTTGATCTGAGATGCAGCCTCCCTATCCAGTACCACCATCCAGAATCAGATGCACAACCAGCCAGCCCAGAAGCCCCCCAGCTCAAACCCATGAGTCCATCCAGCTCAGCTTCCACCAGGCCTGTTGTTTGGTTTCCCCTTCCAGCTTGCAGATCAGACTCATCGCTGTGATCAGGGTTTGTGCAGCACCTGATGCAATAGGGGCTTTGCCCCTGGTTGGCTTCTGTGCAGTACTCAGGATAGTGGGAGCCTGGACTTGAATCTATCAGCTGGTTCCGATAGCTGTAGCCTGGGTGCAGCTTGTGATGGTAATATTAAGAGAGCTGGTGGTTGGATGTGCCAGGTGCTGTACCAGTATATATAAAGGAGGGCAGAGGCAAGACAGCAGGGCATAGGACCTCCCCTTCTCAACCTGCCATGGTCACTTGTGCAAGGCAGGGTCCCTGAGGAGACAGTGGCTTGGGGGTGGACACTGAGCTAGGGGGTAGCCAGGCAGGGGAGCTGCGCACATAGCTGGGGCAGCAGTCCCTGAGTTAGGATTCCCTGGTAGGCTCTGCATCTGCAGAGTGAGTCCCTGGACTGGGGGTTTTAGGGAGTCCATAATGTCCAAGGAGGAAATGCTGGAGCAGTCTTAGCATCGGCAGGGATGCATCACTTCCCTGGGCCTGGCAGTCTAGGTGTGGCAGGGACTGAATGATTCTGGGTACCTAAAGTGTGCAGAGGCTGTCCCATCCTTTTGGCCTGCTGGGAGTCTGTCTGGCCTGTAAATTAGGCCAGAGGAGCCCCATAGATAAGTGTTCCCACGAGGGGATCTAATCCTGTAGAAAGCAATTCTTCCTCAAGCTGCAAAAGCAGCGGGCATTTCCCAGGAAGCACACACAAGCTCCCCTGGCAGGTGGAGGGGAGGGGAGATTTGGGGTTTGGGGGTTTTTTTTTTTTCGTTTTTATCTTTATTTCCAGTTTCAACTTTTCTACAAGAAAAGAATAAAAAAAATAGAGAACTCTACAGATCGTCAAGGCAACTATCTTCACAGAGACAAGGCCCCGGCATCGACTTGCCACAGAGATGAGAGCAGAGCACTGGTGATCATGGAGACAAGGTCATGGCATGGATTGGCGTTGTGGTGGGGGGGACCACACCAATCATCACGGTGACCGCTATGGCAAACATTGCCCTGGAAATGAGGCCCCGGCAATGATCAGCATGCGGATGAGGCCATGGCCCTGCTGATCATGGAGTTGAGACCATAGCACTGATTGCCACAGAGACCACACTGCAGCATGAATTCCACGGGTGGACACGCACCCATGTCACGGAAACCGCAGGCACACCCCGTCCTGTGGCACAGAGGCCTGAGACAGACCCCTTCTTCATGCCACGTATCCCCAGATGGACCCCTTCCTGTGGCATAGAGACCACAGACACTCATCCCATGGCCCGGGTGCTCCTGTACAGGTCTGTCTGTGCACAGGAGGCCTGGTGCACCTATGAGCCCACAGCTTGGAGATGCATGGACCCATGACCTGCCCATTCCTGGTGCCAGAAACACTGGTATCAACAACAGAATCAGTTATAGACACCAGAACAATAAAATGCAGCTCCTGGGGGCAAACCCCCCTGCAGGGGCAGGGCGCAGAGCACCCGGGAACAGCCCCCGCGAGCCAGCCAGGCTGGAGAGGTCCAGGAGGTATGGGGGACTCTACCCCAAACGCTGGACTCCCCCATGGCCCTGGGTATGCCTTTCTGGGGCTCTCCCCTCTCCCCATAGCTCATTGCTGCCCTGGCACTCCTCTACCTTTCTCCTAGAGAGCTCCCCTCCCTGCCTGACTGCTGTTAGTTTAACCTCTACACTATGGCCCCTGCCTCCACCTGGCACCCTATGGGGGGTAGAGTGGGTTGGGTTTCTTCTGCTCCTGGGCACTAGGTCTCTAGGCCTCGTGAAGGGCAGCAGGACCCCCTGCTCACCGCTCCATCACTCAGCCCAGCCTCAAGCCTGTCCCGGCCCCTGCTCTTCCTGCGTCTCGCCTGGTCCCATGGCTAGGGGGGCTCTGTGGGATGGTGGGGTTTCCCCTCGGTGTGTGGCACTTGGTGGCTCTTCCCCAAGTCCCGGTCCCTCATCGGGATGCTTCAGGAGCTGTTCCTCGTCCCCCCCCGAGCTGGGGGGGCCCAGGAGCGCTGACCCCTCAGTGGGCAGTCCTAGCTCACTGTTGACCTCCTCGTGGGCACAGGACCTGGAGGAGGGCGCTACAGTGGGGCGGCGCCCTCGGGCCTTGCGGCTGTGATGCACCTGGAGGTGCAGGGCCATCAGCTCAGGTGCCGAGGTGGCAAAAGGGCAGAAGAGGCAGCGATGCAGAGTGGACGCGCCCTCCAGCGCCGGCCGCAGCGAGAGGTCCAGCGGCTCAAAGTCGGCCCTACCGTTCCGTAGCACTGGGTTAGCGCAGGCACCTTTCCGGCCACCGCGCTCATGACTGGCACCCCAGGCCTGTGGCAGAAAGATGCCCTGGTACTTGTCAGCTGCTTGCAGGGGCAGGTAGGGCGATGCCTTGGCTGTGGCACGGCCCCGTAGCTCTGGGGGCCCACCAGCGCTAGCATTGGCACTCTTCTGCTCTCGGTGGTGGCGCTGCAGGTGGTACTTGAGGGAGCCGGACTGTGTGCCGGCGTAGTCACAGTGGGGACACTTGTACGGACGCTCGCCTGCCAGGAGAGAAGGGAGAGGTCAAGGTGAGATCTGGGAGCCCAGACGGACAGACACAGAACCAGCTAAAGCACGTCTGGGAGCCTTCAATAGGTCCTGGAGGTCCTTTTGGTTTTTAGCCACAAACTGGGAAAGTCTAAAACATTATCTATCCTTTTTTGGCGAAATTTTCATATGCACAAATAGGGGCTGCTAGTTTGCATTCAGCCCTGGGGTGCCTTCCATGCCTCTGGTTTCCACCCCTCTCCCAGGCTCTCCCGGTCCCTGGGGAAGGCCAGGACCCTGCTCCCCCTGCCCCAGCACTCAGCTCACCCGTGTGGACACGCAGATGCACTTTGAGGTGGTGGGAGGAGCGGAAGGATTTGCCACAGTATGGACAGTCCTTGCCAGAGATGCTGCGCCCCCGCTCTGGGCGCAGAGGTCCCAAGCACAGCCTGGTCTCTTCTGGAGAGAGGGGAGAGGAGACAGCAGTGAGTCAAACCAAAGGGACCTCAGCAAAGGAGGTGACTCAGGAGTGGGGGGGGGGGGGGGGGGGAGGGGGGGGGGGGGGCTGGTCAGGGATATATTTGAGGCTGGGGGTGCTCAGAGATCCAGTCTGAGGGGTACAGAGTAGGGGGTGACGGTGGGTCTTGGAAGTAGGTGTAGGGGGCATGGAGGCTCAGGGGTGAGTCTGGGATCAGGGGCCCGTGCTGGAGGTACAGAGTTTGGAGGGGGAAGTTCTGGGGTAGGGGGTCTCATGGGTACACACTGGGGGTAGGCAATGGATAACCCAAGCCCTAGACTCACCCTGTTTCCCTGGGCTGGGCAGGGCCGTAGCCCCGGCTGTCCCCATGCTGGAGGCGCCCCTGCTGTCCGTGGCGAGCCCATGTCCCGCCGCAGCATGGAGTGAGGCCAGTGCTCCCAGCACCTGGCCCCTGGCCCACTCCCCGTCCTGGTGGCTCCGGCTGTGCAGAGCCATCTGCTGGTGGCTGGCAAAGGCTCGGGCACAATCTGGGCAGCGGTGTCCCCGGTCCACACCAGGGCTGCCCTCCTTCCCTGCCTCCTTGCCCCTGGGGCGCCACTGGCGCTCCCGCTCCCCCCACATCTGGGCTGCCGCTTCTTGACTGCTTTCCACTGCCCGGGCAGTGGCGTGAAGCCGCTCAGCACAGCTGGCATCACCTGGCGGGCGCAGCTCGACGTAGCCAAGGAAGGAGCTGGCCTCAGCCTTGTCAGCAGTAACAGGTGGCAGGAAGGTGGGGTAGAGCGCCTCGTAGCCCAGCAGCAGCCCCCCCGGCACCTCCGGCACGGCTCCCCGCTCGCCCTTGAGGCCCAGCTTGCTGAGGTGCACCTTCATGTGGTTCTTGAGGAACCACGGCTCCTTGAAGCAGCGGGCGCACACGGGGCACTTGTGATCGAAAGAGTCTTTGTGCTTGCGCATGTGGCCCTTGAGGAACCACGACTGGGTGAAGGCTTGCCCACACACCTGGCACCGAAACTCAGCAGGTGCTGGCGCCGGCGCCGGAGCTGGAGCAGGAGCCGCAGGAGGTGAGGGCGCGGGGGCCGGTGCCTGGGGAGCCCCATGAGCCTCCTGCCCGTGCCGCTGCAGCTCGCCTTCCTGGGCTGAAGGTACAAAGCTGAATTCGGCTTAGCAGCAGACAGAACTAAGGTGGAACTTGCAGAGTGAGGAATGGAAAGATCCAGTGCAGCTGCCTCCTCCTCCTCCTCTTCTTCCTCCTCCTCTTCTTCCTCCTCCTCCTCACCCTCGCTGGCAGCTGATGGGCCCCGCCGCAGCAGTGCCCGCTCCTCCAGCTCCAGCACCAGGCGGCTCTGGTGGCTGAGGGGGGAGTGGGCATTGGGGGGGTGGGAGCGCAGGTGGAGACGCAGGAGGCTGCGCTGGGCAGCCCGGTGGCCGCAGTAGGGGCAGGTGAAGAAGGGGGTCTCGCCAGCATGGATGCGGGTGTGCAGGGCCAGGATGCTGTTGAAGCGGAATCGCTTCCCGCACACGGCGCAGGGGAACGGCCGAGCCTTGCGCCCGGTCCCGGGGGCCACCCCCAGCTCCGGCCCATTGAAGTAGCGCTGCAGGTCCAGCTCCCCGTTGAAGGCAGGCTCATTCTCGCCGTCACCGGGGGGCACCTCCTCGGGCGACCCCTGGGCTGGCGGGGACAGGGGTTCCTGCAGGAGAGGGGGGGATGGCAGAGCTGCACAACTGGCAGGGCTGCTGGCCGTGGCTTTGTGTGGCGATTGCAATGGGGAATGCACTTCCTGTGAAGGGAGAAGAGCAAAGGGACAGCATTACAAAGACAGCTGGAGGACAACTCAGGTCTAGGAAGACCCCTTTTGCCCATCTCTCCATCCCTGGAGTATATCCTTGAGACCAACCAAGCATGTCCCTGAGGATCAGCTACTTCCAATCAACACTTCAAGTGCCCCTCAGTCCCAAACAGCAGAGACTCCCCATGCCTGAAAAAGGGTGATTGCACCCAAAAGCTTGCAAAGAACTTTTTTCCAACTACTCAGCTGGTCTAATAAAAGATAGCACATCTACCCAAAGAAACTTGCCTGCCTCAATCCCACACACGCTTGATAGCTAGCTGCGGCCTGCAGGCTGCCATGGAAGCATATTGATTTGGGACAATAACTATGCCATCAAGTGGGGCGCAAGTTCAACATTTAAACCTGTTTCCTGGACTATAAATTCCCTCCAGAAATTTAGGGCATGTCAAACACTCTTTTGTGGCTGATGGCCCCTTCTCTGCTACCAAACAGGCATCTATGTGGACTTTCGGTTCCTCCGTGCAAGTCTATCCTGCTATTCAAGTTCTTAAAATCCACCTTGCATCTCCTTTTGTCTGACACCATTCGCTGAGTAAGGAGGAGGAGGACCACCCCAACTTTTGCACTGACCATTTTTGGGGGACTGGAAGAGGCCTGTCTGTTCACTTATGTGCCTAGGAGTTGGAACAGGATCTGGCCCCAGATTTTGTTTCAATTCCAATCATTTAATTTTTGCTTAGATGTCTAGCAAAATCGACAAAGCTCAACAATTTCAGGTTCCCTTTTTTGAAAACCTCCTTATCTCACTGAAAATGTGGCGGTCACTGTCTTCCCAGAGAAAGCTTTGGCTTTGATCAAATCAGCGGGCTTCAATGAGAGGCCATTTGGTTGAAAAATTCCCAGACAGGCAACACCTCGAGGCAGGCAGTTCCACTGGCCGACACCATGCAAGGAGAGTGAGCATGGCCTATCAGCGTCTACAATTTTTTGCCTGTCCTTATATAATGTCTCCTTGGCCTTGTGTGGAGAAAAAGGGAAGCCAGCACCTGCTGGTCTCCTTCTCTGGACCAGCCGATATTTAATGGCCTTTATCCCAGCTCCTTTCATCAGAGAAAAGAGCCTTTCCTGTCTCAGTCTGTCCACATGGCAGTCCAAGACCACGATAGGTCTCATGGCTGTTCTCGAAATCTCCACCAACCAGCCCATGCAGTAGGGA